GATCAGTAAACAGTCCTCCATAAAATGTGCTGCACACATCTGGATATTTGGGTTGAAGTGTTCTGGAACAGTGTTGTAAATAAAACTTAACCACTGATTTCTAGTTGTGTCCTCTTTTGTGTCTGCAAAAGTAGTTTGGCTTTTGCAACGAAACACACAGCGTCTCCACGTCATGGCGGCGGCAGCAACAATACTACAGCGAGAATAAAAGTTACGCCTTCTTTCTTTGCGTGAACATTTGGCCGGCATTATGCAAATCTTCCTACATAGTGACGTAGACACGTGGGGGCGTGTTAGAACGAGCCGTTTTAGGAAGGTGTGGCTGAGCGTTCACTTTTATAAAGATTATCTCTAATCTTTGCGACTTTAGGGATCTTCTGTATGCACAAACAGCTTTTAACACTCAAAAGACAAAGGAAAACATGAAATCGCATCATATGACCCCTTTAAAATACGTGCTTGTCTCCAGATGAATTAACTAATATCTCTAATAATCACTAATATATATGTATTATGTGTCTAACAGAAGCACATGTTGAAAGAGGGAAAAGGACGGATGTTACAGGCCATCAGTCCCAGACAGAGCCCCAGCAGCAGTCCCGTCCGCGAGGAGCGCTCGCCGTCCCCCACCTTCCGTCTTCCCTTCTTCACCTCCTCACCATTCTTTTCTCCTCCTCCTCATCACAGCAGCGCACACTGCACAGGCAAAGATGAGGACGACTAGCTCGACATCCGTTCTAGAAACCAAGCTCACAACCAGCTCTTCATGTTTTCTACGCTTTCTTTAAGCCATTTTGAGTTGCCAAGAATATAAATGAAGGATGGACTAGCTCAAGATTTATTTGAATATGAAAAATGTTGAAATGCACAATAGTGACCAAATTATTCCACCCGTACTTTCTAAAGGTTTTGATCCCACGTCTCCCTCTCGCTTCAGAGATTTGCCACACACCACTAAACCAAAAAGCTCATATTGTTGTTCTTTTCCTTGGATCGTATTCGGCCTGGAACTTGCATAATTATGCATTTTTAGCGCTTCTCATTTTTTTGTTTCATAACACAGCGTCTGCTTGCACGTAATCTCATTCTCAATTGTGCATAAAACTCACTCTCACCTGCCTTCATTGTCCAGATCTTTTCATACTTGAACAGGGTACCAAATTTGAGACTAATTCCAGGATGGGGGAGGGATCCCGGGACAGAAATCGTCTTTGTATAGTTCTAGAATATTTCTTCTCATTTTATGCTGGTTACTGTATTTCATCTCAGCTTATGTTTTTACTTTCAATCATTCTTTTTGAACATTCGTGTGTCTTTCTGACCTTTTTATGTTTCTGCTAAAGTTCATTAGGTGTTTTTCCTCATATGAACTCTCTCTCTCTCTCAGACTCTGATGTGAAGTAATAATTTCGTGGCCTGGCAGTGACGGCGTCTGGCACCCACATTTAAACCCTGTGCTAGTCTGTGGCACGGGTCCCAGTCTTTTTGGAAAGGCTTTGCTTTGCTTGAATGTTTACTTTACCCAAGCCTGCTGAGGGACAGTGTTAACACGAAAGACTACCAGGACCTGTTTGTTTACATGTTCACATAGGACAAGAAGATGACCTTAGGAATATGTGTTTGCCAGCGGACCAAAAGACAACTTTGACATTCTTGTGGTCAGGAACATTGATTTGATTTGTTTTAGATGATCTTTGAGAATCAAAAGGACTGTGAAAGCTCTTGAAAGAATTTTTTTTTTTTTGTATTGTCTTGTGGCTTGTTACTTATTCATGGGGATCAAAAAACACTATGTACTACAGCACCTTTAATGTCCAATAACATAAGATTTTAGAAAAAAGATGATTTAAAAAAAAAAACTAACATTAACCTATCACTTCTGAATAGTTAAATGGGCGTAACATCAGATACAGATGTTTGATATTTCAGGTTACATTTCCACTTTCCAAATTCTATTACTAGTTCTAGCAGCTGCATTCTTAAAAATAAAGGTTCCAAAAGGGGGGTTTCACAGTGATGTCATAGAAGAACCATTTTTGGTTCCCAACAGCTTTCAGTGATCATTTCTTAAAATAACCATTTTTTCTTAGTGTGAAGAACATTTGAATAATCTAAAGAACCTTTTTCCACTGTGAAGAACCTATTGTTTAATGTAAAGGTTCATTGGATGTTAAAGGTTCTTCATGGAACCATAGATGCCAATAAAGGACCGTTATTTTTAAGAGTGTAAAAAGTTTAGTAGCCCTGTGTGTCCTAAAGCACCAGCACATGTAAACAAGACCATATTCCCCACCATAATTGACAAAATGTCATGATACATGTATGAACTCTGTAAAATGTACTTCACGTCTTAGAGAAAGGGATGAGCCAATGACAAAGAACAGAAAAGTTTCAAAAACTCATTCTCATATCCGAGTCACAGATCCACACCTGCCTCTAAGTGGTTCTCAACTTGGGGACTTCAATCCATTTGAGGCCGTCAGTAAACTTCAGTAAGCCGCAAAACCAACTTAATTTTGTCTAAACTAATTTAAACTAAAACAATTTTACAGTTAAAAAGCTAAAGGCCCATCCACACCAAGAATGATAACTATATTAGTTCAAACGTTCTAACGTTCTGTTTATAAGCACGTCTGCCACTTTAAATGCTTGAGCTGTGAGTGGTTGGATTCAGATTGGCTGTCAATGTTTTTAATCATTCATCAGCTGGGAAAAAAAAACATTCTGAAAATTATTCCAATGATATTGTTCCTGTGTATAATGTTATAAATTGTCATATCCAACTTTATCCACAAATATACTCACGTAAAAATATCAAGCAGTTGAGATTTGCTGTATAGTATATTAACTGCTTGATATTTTTATTTCATCGCAAAATGTCACTATATTATCGCCCAGCTGTAATCTGCTAAATGCAACTATAAGGCCTGAAGATATTAAGATGTCATAAACATTAAAGGGATAGTTCTCGCATACTCACCCTCATGTCGTTCCAAACCTGTACCTTCGTTCGTCTTCGAAACACAAATTAAGATATTTTTGATGAAATCCATGAGATTTCTGACCCTCCATAGACAGCAACAGAACTACCACGTTTAAGAAAGGTAGTAAGGACATCATTAAAATAGTCCATGTGACATCAGGGGTTCAACCGTGATGTAATGAAGCTACGAGAATACTTTTTTGTGTGTGTGCAAAGAAAACAAAAATAGCATTATTCAACAATTTCTACTCTTCCATGTCGGTCTCCGCCGCACGTTCACGAGAGTACCACGACGCATGTGTTTCAGTTTCAGTTGCGTTGCTGTCTATGCAGGGTCAGAAAGCTCTCGGATTTCATCAAAAATAGCTTAATTTGTGTTCCGAAGTTGAGCGAAGGTCTGAACGGGTTTGACATGAGGGTGAGTAATGACAGAATTTTCATTTTTGGGTGAACTATCCCTTTAACATCACAATTTCTGTAAAGCTATTTTGCATTTTTAAAAAGCACTAAACAAACAAACTGGCTTGAATTTTTTCTTCTGTCGTAATTGTTATAGTCCATGGTGTGAACGGCCCTTTAAAACACTCAAATCAAGGCTACTGAAAAACTGGGGAATTCACATGCACCGCTGAGTATGAAACTGTACCTTTGCAAACAAAATTAAGAACTAAATTTTATGCCTCAGAAGTGGCATTAACCTTAATATTAAAAAAAAGCACCTTGGTTGTCTTTGCAGCAGACGTACAAAAGAAAATCTAGTTGGTGATCCTTCCAAATATTGTCTTGAATCTCAGAGTTATGAAGGTTGGAAACCCCTGCTTGTGCAGGTCGTCCATTATGACTCTGAGCGGCAAGCAGAGCTGTGTGCGCTGCAGCAGAGGACAGCGGGTCTGAGTGCTCTAAAGCCCTGGAGGTAGAGCATGTGATCAGTACATCAGCTGTTGTTGGAGGACTGCTCTGGCTTCAGCCGGATGGCCCACGAGTTGGCAGAGACGACGTTACCGCGCCGATGGATGCGGCAGGTGTAAGTGCCTTCATTAAATTCATTGGCCACGAGCCGCAGGTCCCGATCTTTAATTACAATATAGCCAGGAATGGATGTCAGCAACTGCTCACCGTCCTTATACCAGCTGATGAAAGATGAAACAAAGCAGCTGAGATTAACTGGACAGAAACGAAGCTTCAAAAAATTATGCATTCCATAATTGCATGTGCGTTTTTTTGTTGAGTATCATATTTGATATATCAGGCTTTTATGGCTCATATAGTATGGAGCTCATACTCAAGGAGGAAAAAACACCTCAGTTTTATTCAGAGGCCAAAACAAATATGCAATTTAGTGCAGATGCTGATATTTATATAGTCAAAAAGAAAGATTAATTTCTGATAGCTTGTAATGTAAATCAATGACATCTTTATAACAGTATAGCAGACTATTTAAATAAAATGATACAAATATCAGTTGTCACTCTATATCTCTCAGTAAGATGATATTTTAAATGCTTAGTTTTATGATCAAAGCTCTGTAGTTTTTATTATGGGCAAATCATATAATGTGATGCAATACAATAATGATTGAGAGATGTACAAATAAACATTCCTCAAAAGCCTGATGATCATATTTGATACTTACAATTTAACATGATTTTTCAAAAAAAAATTATGTATGGATAAACAAGTAAATCTAAGTTACTTCAGTCAAGTAAGTGTTCATCTTGAAATATATTACTAGTAATATAAAAGTTATTCTTATGTTTACTTTTTAAAATTCATTTGATAAAGATTTTATTTTATAAGATTTTACAACAAAAAGCCACGTGAACCACAACCTGAAGATGGACGTTTTTACAATTATAAACTATCAATCAGATCACAGAAAAGTATGTAAATTCAACAAAGTTTTGATCATGTTAATAATTTAGAGGCCTTAGAAATGTGTGTATCAAAATATAATACAGTAGGCTTTATAGGGTTAAGGACGCTCTACCTGACTTTTGGAGGCACTCTGGTATTTTTTGTCCCACAGCGGAAGCCCACAACTTTTCCACGAGGCACAATTTTGATCTTCACATTTTCAGGAGGAGGTGTCGGTGTAGACACTGCATCCAGAGGCTCTGAGGAGCAAACACGCACGTTAAAGAGTCAGCTGTACAAGTGTGTGAGTCTATAATATCACTACTATTTAAAGTAATGGACGATGTCCGTCCACATGCACAATGAAGAATACTGTGTGAAAGCGAAAGGCTTTTGGAGGGGAAGCCAGCGCTGCAGGAGATGTTGGAGGAGGATGTTTTCAGTGTCTCACCGTAGCACAGGTCGCAGCGCTGCGGGCAGTTTTTCTTCATGAAGCTCCGCCTCCTCTCACAGAAACCCAAGCGGGCCCAAGGATCACACACACGCTTCTTATCCATGCATCCTGAAGCAAACACACACGCAGATGATAGAAGATAGTTATTTTTGCACTTTTTTTAAGGTTCATACAATACAAAAACAACCTATCTATTTTCTAAATGCATGTTATAGATCTTATTGTTAACGATTCATCCGTGCATGTTTAATTTTTGATCTCATAATGTTCAATCAAAATGTAATAACTGGATCTTCGGGTGAAAACGCCAGACTTCTGCAGGTCTTCTTCAACCATTTTGGTCATTGAAACTCTGCCTCCACTTTTAAATGCCACGCCCACACCTCAACATCCAATCAACAACTGACTCATAGAACCAAGCCCCGCCCTACAGTTTATGAATGTCACAATATGGAATAAAAGATCTGTCACTACTTCTGTTTCATTGTGACTTTAAACACCTATATTTTGTTTACCATAAAGGCGCTGGATGCCCCGGATATCATCTTGAGCGATGTTCCTCTGACCCGTGCACGTTGCATTAGGGTGCATTAATGCATTAGGGTCCTGTGAATGCCAGAGGCCTAAAGCGTGACCGATTTCATGAGCAGCGACCTGGACCAGGTCATTCAGCCACACACCTGTGCAGAGACAACACACCATCAAATCAAAGAGGAAAGGGAAAGAAGAATAGATGGAGGATTGTGAGATTTCTTTGAGCATGTGTATGAAGATATCTCCTTATATGGGATTTTTGAGTTTAAACGTTTAACATTCAAAGTGAATTAGTGATGAGCACTCTCAAAACTGCTTCTTGAAGCGTCACAACATTTACAAGTCTTTTGTTTCGAATCAGTAGTTCAGAGCTTGTCTCAAACACCCCAAGTCACATGATTTCAGCAAACAAAGCTTCATTATGCCATATTGTTTCAAACCTTACTTCCAAAATGTTTGAAAAATCCAATGGTTTGTCAATAAATGAAACTGATCTGGTAAACCCATGAACGAGTGTCTAATGGTTCTATAATGGGAAAATATAGATGTCTGCACACTGAAATTACAGACCTCGAAAGATTATTTACAAAATAGCGCAAAACAGGTCTTCATCAGGCACAATGTTACTGTTTATTTAAATAAACTCTGGATTTGTAATTTCAGTGTGCAGACATCTATCTTTTTCCATTTATTGTTGTTTTGTTCTCCTGCACCTGAGCCCAATTCAGGTTTTGGATGTGCATACCTATTTTGTTTGTTTGTATATTTTAACTGATCTCAGGTCAGTTTTATAATGTAGGTTTATTTTTTATTATTTTATTTTATTTTATTATATGTGTATAATAAAAAAAGAAAAAAAGAATGATACTTAATTTCAGTAACATTTTATTTTAAAGGGGTCATATGATGCGATTTAAATTTCTCCTTTCTCTTTGGAGTGTTACAAGCTCTTGGTGCATAAAGAAGATCTGTAAAGTTGCAAAGACTAAAGTCTCAAATCCAAAGAGACATTCTTTATAAAAGTTAAGAGTCAGCCACGCCTACCTAAAACGGCTCATTCTAACACGCCCCCACATGTCTACATCACTATATGGGAAGATTTGCATAATGCCGCCCAAATGTTCAAGGCGTAACTTTTATTCTCGCTGTAGTATTGTTGCCGCTGCCATGTCGTGAAGGCACTGTGTGATTCGTTGTGAAAGCGAAACTACTTTGTTTGGTCTTCCAAAAGAGGACGATATCCGCTTCGTCATGCCTGGAGCTGATCCGTGCTGGTCGCTGAGGAAATACATCAACTTCGCGCTGTGGATTGCCGGATTGGCTTTCACCGTGGACGAAGCGGAGTCCAGCCCGGGGTCGTCACATGTGGTTGCAGCAAGCCCGCCGGCTGCTCCTTCGTCGAATCGGCCGGCCGCCGCTCACTCAAGCACGCCGTGTGTGACGCTGTGTTTCGTTGTGAAAGCGAAACTACTTTGTTTGGTCTTCCAAAAGAGGACACGACTAGAAACGTCACACGCTTGAGGTATTCGGCCAATCACAACGCACTGGATAGCTGGCCAATCACAGCACACCTTGCTTTTTCAGACCGATGAGCTTTGTAAAAATCGCCGCGTTTCAGAAAGGCAGGGCATAGAGGAGAAACAATAATGTACAGTATGTGGAAAATAATGTGTTTTTTGAACGTTAAACCGCATAAACACATTTCATTACACCAAATACACAAAATAATGTTCTTTTTAGCAACATCATATGACCTTTTTAAGGACAAATTCTCACTATCAACTAGCATGCATATTTCTAGCATTTTAGCTGTTTATTAGTACTTATTAAACACATATTAATGCCTTATTCTGCATGACCATAATTTAGATCCCTTAATCATACCCCTAAACTTAACTACCTTACTAACTATTAACAAGCAGCAAATTCATTAGTGAGAACTGGCCCTTAAAATAAAGTGTGACCTTAATCTTTGCCAAGCCCACATAAAACAAGCACTACATTAATGCAAGAACACAAATTTGACAAAACCTTCATATTTAATGGTTTCATTTATTTGTAGATTACATTTAATAGATTACACTTCAATTAGAACATCTGCAGTTAGTTGGTAAAAAGTGTCATTATACATGTTTGGACTGAGTTGTCAGAGTTGTTTTGACCAGCCTGTGGCATTTTGAGCACTTCAAAACAGTGAATTATTTTGAGAAGCAATTGGCTCAATTGATTCAGTTAACAAAAGTTTCTTATCACTAAAGAGAACTCACTAAAAAAGGCATCAGTGGGTCTGTCTTAATTGATCACCTGTCTACTTACATGACGTATTTCCTCTTTCCTGTATTGTGTTCACACTTCACATTTTACAAAATACATCTATTCATCTCTACAGTGTACAACACTTTACTCTAGCGCCACCATCAGTTCAAAGTTTTAGCAAATAAATTTTGAACCAAAACAAAAGACCTAGAAACTAAAATCACCTGGTGCTTTCGATTTCCATTTGACTAGAAATAGATTTTCCACAAATCACAAATTTTGTCTGAAACGTGCTTTTTGAATAGAATTCAAACTTAGGTGCCAAAAGTGAGGAATTGGAAATTAGTTAAACAGCGACACTTTTGCATATTTACACTAACTTTTTTTTATCATTCCCACAATGCACTGACAATACCACTAAAATCTGGTTAAAGCACCACAAGTCTGTCAAAAGTTCCAAGTTTGGAATACTGGAATCAATGAGCAGATATGTTATACTTGTATTCTGACAAGCACATCCACCCCAGACAGCAACATAGTGTTCTGGCCCGTGTGGAATAGACGCGGACCAGATGTGGGCCGGATCTGGGCCAACACTATGTTGCAGTCTGGGATTTTAATAAATAAATGTATCAGAGCAGTACCTTGTTTCCAGCTGAAGCGGGATTTGCCCAGAATCCAGAATTCGTGGTTGTCAAAGTGAATCTCTCCACGTGGGGGAAGGAAGGCGTGGGCCAGCTCACCGTTCATTCCATCAAAACACGGGTGCAATGGAGACCACCAACAATCTGTGTGATTGTACGTGTAGAAGCCTGTCTCAGGAAAAGGAGGTGTTACAGAGTTTCATACAAAAATAGCAGATTAATAAGCTGCATAAAGTACTCTGTCAGCCTGCCAAAATGCACATGCCTGATGCTTTGGCTCTTTTCCCGCACATTTATTTACCTATAGTGATGTCAGCACTTTTGTTGGGGTTGGTGATTTCAGTGAAAGTCAGAGGAGAAAAATCACTCCATTTCGTGAAGGCGATGCTGATAGCTTTGCGGGTATCGTCTTTATTCAGTGTGTTGGGAAACTTTGTGATCCTTGAAGAGGGAGAAACGTAAATTGCTTCCAGCCAAAAATGAATGACACACTTTCAAAGAGCCTCTGTGTCTGCTATCAATCAGAATGCACATTTACAAAAGCCCAACACTCCCGAAATCAATCTGCTCTTCCCAAAATATCCCTCATCATCTGAACCCCAGATCATCTCATGCATCTGTCTGGTCATACTTTAGGCATTCAACAATCATGCACATCAACAGAAAAGCTTCAACATATTTTTTTTTATATCCTGTGTCTCTCTCACTTGTAGGTGACGTTAAAATGCTCCCACTTGTATCCCAGTGGGTTGATGGCATAGCGCTTGGGTCGAGCCAGACCTTGATGAGACCTCGTGTCCACAGGTGCCAGTGTCTGCACACATGGTTTATGCAACTGAATACTAGCCACCTAAGAGGAAGATAGAAAAGGGATGTATATAGCAAACCACCAAGCCAGAAGTGTAACGCAAATGATGACTCTGATCCACATGAGTACTGTTAATCATATGCTGAGCTCTGGAGATGTGAGACCTAACCTGCTTAATGCCCAGGTGTTCGCAAAAACCTTGATTACATAGTTCAGGTGTGTTTGAGTTCAAACTAAACTCTGCAGGAAGCTAGATCTCCATGTACTGAGCAACCATGATATCAAGGAAGGTCAATAGTGATTACCAGGAAATTGACATACTTATGTCAAGATATACAGTGAATTCTGAAACACTAGGTAAAATTTATAAGAAATGTTTCTAAGTCACAAATCAAATAAGCAGAATTGTAACACTGGTCATGTGAACTCTGATATACTAGCTTCCACTTTGGATCAAGTCAAACCATAATGGAGAACACTATTGTCAAGTTTTGAAAATAAGACCAATCAGACCAACCACCACAGATTAGCAAAGGTCACGCAAAGGAGGGGTTTGGAAAAATGAATCGTTAAACAAATCGTTTGGGAGTCGTTGAGCAAGTAAGGTAAAAATAAATGCATATTATAAGACAATGAAAGTGTATTTTGACCTTGCATGCATGTCAACCTGTTGTTAGGGACTCCCAAAACCAAAATATGAACCTTTCATTACCCATAATAGGGGCACTTTAAAGCAAAAGAGGGACAGTCCAAATGCTAAGACATTCTGAAATTCATAATTTTTCAATTCTTTTTACTTTTCACTCAAATGGTCAAGCTTATCCCTTTTGAAAAAGAAGTGCACTTAATTGTACTAAATGTACACAAATCTTACAAGTATTTAAACAAAACCCTACTGAATAATGAAATAAAAGGACACACATGTAAGTAAAGAGAATACACTTTTATGACTTTCTTAAAGGGGTCCTATTATGCTCTTTTACAAAGTCTTGATTTTGTGTTGGGGGTGTACTAGAACAGGCTCTCATACTAGGTTGTTCGAAAAACACATTATTTTTCACATATTTTACATTATTACACCTCTCTCCCCAGTCTGGCATGAACGGCTCGAATAGTTCCTGTATCAAATGAAAGCCCGCCTTCTGAAATACGAAATGTGCTGTGATTGGTTAGCTGGGACAGTGTGTGTTGTGATTGGCA